ACAAGAATCACGTATTCTAAATTGGTATATTAAAATTCATACATGCGGAATACATTGTTATGTATGAATATTACCAGCTAGATCTTTCCCTTCTTACTTTTCAAAATAATACATCGTCAATGGGGCAAGCCAAAACGATATGGAAATGAGATGTGACCAGTCATTATATAGGAAATTATAAAGTTGGCACATTACCGACTCTAACCCTAATTAGGGTTTACATAAAATCTGGCCCACATACTTACAATTACCACATTATAATAATATAGCTTGTAAGGTGTATAACGACCCAAGTGATCACTAACATATTGGGCCTAATCACAGTATCATTGCAAACCCTAATTCATCACTCTCAAGTCCCTCACCCTCTCTCTCTCTCTCTCTCGCCTCACTTTCCCCACCTCTCCGTAGCGCCGCCGGCGTTATTGAAGACCACGGTGGAGCTCGTTGCTGTGTAGCGAGCGCCACTTCATCTCTGAGCTTCGTTGTGCAGTGGGTTGGGTTTGTGTGCTTCAACATTTTGCGTCACGGATCTGAAACGGGTCTGCCCAAGTGAACTGCGAGTAGGTGGAAGGGAAGCTTGTAAGAGTGCGTGTGAAGCTTTCGGGAGTTCAGAGTATTGTTGCAGCGGCGCGTTTAACTCACCTGCCACCTGCAAGCCGTCCGTTTATTCTCAGATGTTCAAATCTGCTTGTCCTAGATCCTATAGCTACGCTTATGATGATCCTACCAGCACTTTCACCCGCTCTGTTGCAGATTATACTGTAATCTTTTGGTAGTGCAATAGTGGTGGTGGTTTTTGGGCTCCTCGATCTGAGCGTCGCTGCGGCGGACTGTGAGCTCGCTCACTCAGATCTTAGTCGTTGCACGGCGTTCAGTCGCAGTAGTGGTGGGTGAGTGTGGATGTGGGTGGTGTTGGTGTGGTTGTGGGTTGACGGTGTGGTTATGGTTGTGCGGTGGATCTAGGTAGGACGGCGATGGTGGTTGTTAGCAGTGGTGATTTGGGTGGTCCTGGTGAGATTGTGTGGTGATAGTGGTGCAGTAGATTTAGGAAGGACGACGGTGGTGGTTGTTTGCAGTGGTGATTTGAGTTTTCTGTGACTAAAAATATAATCCGTCACCAATCATTTTTTCATATGTAACCTAAAAATTACATAATCAGTATCCGTAGAAAAATCTGTGATTGTGTGACCTATAAACTTTGATTTGTGATTAACTAATTTTGACATCAGTGACCAACGAATTAATGTGATCTATAAAATTATTGAACTGTGTCCGTAAATTGTAAATCTGTGATCAGAATAGTCACAGGAATAGTCGCCAGAATAATTGTCGGAATCGGAGCAGTTGCCTGAACGGTCGCCGGAGAAAAGTGGTGGTCGGAATGGTCTCCGGAATAGTCCCCGGAGCGGTATGGGTGGTACATGTGGGATGGGTTAATTATATTATATTAGATTAAA